TTTTTATTAAAGCGTTTGATTGACAGCAAAGGAAGATTTTTCCAGTATTAAACTCTAGGCCCAATTGAACGGGACAAAGTACACCAAGTCTTGACTTTGAGCTACTGGGACTGGGTTATACCACCTTTCTCTTTCTTCTTCTGCTCTCTGCCTCTCTCTCTCTCTCTGTCTCTCTCTCTCTCTCTCTCTCTCTTTCTCTCTCAATCTCTTCCCTTTCTTTTTAGTTATGAAGCCAATGGCTCTGTGGTGAGCCACAGGGAGCTGACAGATTGGCCCTTAGGATCTCAAGGCTTCTTTTACAATCAAAACTTGTTAACTCACATTCTGAGTTGAGGATTTGGATGGGGGTATAGAAGGAGAGAGGGGCCTTAGGATGCATCAAAGCCAGGGTCTTGAGAACACATGTTTGGGCATAAAAGTGTGTGTATGGATTAGGAGTGCTGTAAAAGCAAGAAGAACTTATTCTCCTAAGGCCAGTCAAATGAGGAGAGAGGAGCAGCTGCAAAGCCCAAACTCCCTCTATCCTCACTGACCTTCACCATCACTGTCTTCATCCTCGTCCTCACTGTGATATCAGGGCTCAGAAGTCAAGACTGAGGTGCACACTAAAACCTGAGGGAAATTTCTTGGATACTTGACATAATGGATCATGTTTTCTAATTTAACCTCTTAAAACTGAAAAGAAATATATATTTTTAAAAAGTCATAGATAGTCATTTTGATAAGACTTTGTTGCATTTTTTTGGGGGGGGGGGGGGGGGGGGTGGGGGGGGGGGGGGTGAGGTACATGAGTCATTTAAAAAATAATATTTAAATACTAAATAATACTAAATTTTAAAATAATAATAGTTAACTGTATTGAATGTAAAATGTAATGGCGAAGCTGATCAGCATCAGTGTCACATGATCCTTCAGAAATCATTCTAAATATGCTGATTTGGTGCTATTTATTATCAATGTTAAAAACTGTTGTGCTGCTTCTTATTTTTGTGGAAACCATGATGCCTCGTCATGATCATGAACCACGATTTATCAGGATTCTTCAAAGTTCAAAATAACAGCATTTATTTGTTATTACAATGTACAAAGTCTTCATTGTCAGTTTTAATTAATTTAATGCGAATAAAATCATATTTTTTTCTTCTGTATATGTTGGGAAAACAAAAAAGTACCACACCTAAACATGTTTTGTATCTAATGCAGAGACATTTTGATAGTTTTTTTTTTGTACTTTTAAAGCGTTTATAATCGTCACTTTGGGGGCCATGTGTGTATATTATGTATGTGTGTATATTTCTCAAACATGGAAACGATTATGTTGGTATTACTTGAGACAGACTAAATCTTGCCACATTAGTCATGCTCTACTATTTTTGTGTAACCCTGCATTAAGAGAGAGCAAATTAGCAGGCCCTTTTCAACAATAGCTGCTCAATATTAGACTCCAGCAGGAAACATTTTGCTAAAACAGGCATGAGTGGACAGGATCGTGTTTTCTGACTGTAAAAATGTTGACACAGAAACTTAAGTCACAGAAAATAAGTTTTCTCTTTCCCACAGGTGTGTGTGTGTGTGTGTGTGTGTGTGTGTGTGTGTGTGTCTGTCTGTGTGTGTGTGTGTGTGTGTCTGTGTCTGTGTGTGTGTATGTGTGTGTGTATTAGAGAGTGCTGGAGTGCGCCAGCCAGCCTCTTTGGACACCTGTCATTCCACCGTTGCTTTACAGCTTCCCGTCCTGTGGTATTCACAAGACTCCCTGCTGGATCTGTGAAAGCTTTACCAGAAGCCCGAGATATGGACAGTCTAAACACTGACAGAAAAACAAAACATTTCTAATACAAAAAAGACAGCAGAACTGTATGCACTTCAAATCCATTTGAAATCCAATAGCTCAAACAAATACCGAACAGACAAAGTATTTTAATTGACACATATTGTGAAGTGCCACAGGATCCTTTGAATCTAACTGGCTTTTCATTTGGACCATAAAAAACATGGTGAATCCAAACCCATTACCAAAGGAATGACAGGATATTCAAACCCTTTTCCTCCTCAGTATGCAGGTGCTGCTGGTTAGGATATTTAGGGCACGTATTATTCCACTTAGAGAATTATTCAAGGTTTTGTATTGTACTTAGTATGAAATCATTCAGATCAGTTTTAGGTCATACACGTTTTTGAATTTTTGGTGGAGTTCATCGCAAGTGGAAAGTCTCTAATACTTTTCTGATGTCTTTAATTACAGGTCCGACTCTTTCTTTGACATCATATCAACGGCATCCAGTGTACAGGTCAGTGTTCATTATTTGTACAATACTTTTAGGAGACACTATACAAAGCAGCTTGTATTGCATTTGTCTGGGAATCAAATATCGTTGTTTGCAGTGTGCATTACCGTTTGAGCTAAAGAGGTCTCATACTGTGATTTTGAAGCCTCGTGTCCCAAACAGTGTCTCCCTTTTCCGTACCATTCAGCTTTCGATCGCTTAACCTTAGTTTTTTGGACCAAGTTGTTGGACCAGTTTCCATGCAGAAAATGGTATTAGTGGAGCAGTTCTGTTGCCATGGCAACTAGTCTCTACAGTGCCGTCTCCAGCCACAGGGGATGATGAAGCGCTGTTGATGTTGGATAACAGAAGCAGATGGAGAAGGAAGGAGTGAGTTAAATGATCTGAGAGCACTAGACCGGGTTACAGTTCACAGACTCTATATTGAGCTGAACAGAGGGATCCACTGAGTGTGGGAGACTTTACTGAGACGAGACCGAGAACAATGCTGAAAGTCTAGGGATAGTGACACTCAGCACTATAGAAAAATCACAGTTTTGACAAATGTGAAACATTCATTTAGTTGTCACTGTTTTAGATTTTTTTTTTAAATAAAACGTATAGATGTTTTACAAACCTTGTAGGATTAATTGTCTTATAAAGTTTATAGAATATACACTACAATTAAAGGTTTGGGCTCAGTAAGATGAAACAAAAAAGTTAAGAGTTGTCTCTTATGCTCACCAAGGCTGCATTTAGTTGGTTCAAAAATACAGTAAAAACAATAACACTGAAATATTATTACAATTTAAAATCGCTGTTTTCTATTTGAATTTATTTTAAAATGTAATTTATTCCTGTGATGACAGCTGAATTTTCAGCATATTACTCCAGTCTCACATGATCCTTATAAATAATTATAACAATTATCTCACTTCAGATACTGTAAAGTATCTGATTCACACCAAGAACCATAACTATAACGATAACTACATTAGCGTCCACACACCAGCGGACGATATCGTTCTGTTTGTCTGTCACTTTAAATGCTCGTGCTCTTTAAAGCAGGATGGATTCTGATGGGCTGTCAATGTTTTTCTCGTTCATCAGCTGGATAAAATCATTCTGAAAGTGATTCCAATGATAGTTGAACTCTGCTATTCTTTAATATTGAGAACGATTTTTCGAACTATATTGTTATATTTATAGTTATCGTCCTTGGTGAGAACGGGCCTTAAAGGAGCTGCATGTAAGATTGTGGCCAAAACCGGTACTGCAATCACTTTCACATTACTGTAGTAGAGCGGTGTATCCCCTCCCCCTCCCCCCTGACTCGAGGTTGCCAGATCGACTGCATTTTTTTATCCGACACGTGTGTAGCTGCAGCTGTGGTAACTAGAGCAGAGCTGGCAACCCGGATGGCGCAACACTACTGACTTCGTGAATGGTCGATAGGTGGAGGGTGGAGCATCAGACCAAAACACAACATGACAACATCAACATCAGTTGAGGGCTGCAACTTCACCTTTTAAATGACAATATCCTGGCCGGACTACTGTTGTCAGTGATATAAGTATTTGAAATGAACATGATTTCTCAATGTCTAGTGACATATCAGGGCCATTTTATGATTAATTCAAATAAATTTCTTACATACAGCTCCTTTAAGTCTTCAAAGCTGCAGTTGTTGGTTTTGAAAGTTTTGCTTGTCATGATCAGTCTGATATAAACTGCTCTGAGGACTGTTGTGGGGTCAGTCCCTGTTGGTTTTAATGCTTCATTTGTTTAACAATTTCGGCAATTCAAGTGCTGTTCGTATTGACGGATGCATTATAGGCGGAACTTTACAGCATTGCTTATTTATTCAAATGGTTTTTTAATATGGTTAAAACTGTAATTTAACAGTAAATGGTCAATAGATTAAATTAGAATTAAATTAAAACCTAATAGGCAAAGGCCAGAGTTTATAGGTTTAAACCCACATGGTCATCAGGTGTGGGCCTTTGAAAGAATCAATCACTGGTGTTTAATAAATAATAATACAGCAGCTTCAGACTGAAGGTAAAATGCTTAGGGTTGTTGATGAGAAGTTCAGTGCAATTAATTGTGATCTATTAATTGTCTTTGAAAGACAATTGTAGTTGGGCAAGGGCAAGGTAATGCTGATGACCCAGGACAGGCATTTACATTAGAGCTTTGGAAAGAGAGGCTCCTATGCAAGATATGCAAGTCCCAGACTGCCTGTGTGTGCAGGTGTGTATATATGTGAATGTGTGTGAGAGCTTGTGGTCAGAGGACACTGTCTGCCAGCAGCAATCTACCTGCAGATCTCATCTAGACTGTACAGAACCAGACTTATACAGCCTCCCTTCCCTGTTCATCTTTTAGTCTCTTTCTCACTTTTACTCCTCCAGGCCTCTCACAGTCTGTCGGATTTCATTGAAGCTCTCATGCTCTATATTTTTCAGTCCTGACATATTCATAATTTGGTTTAAACAATGGTTTTAATGTTTAATTGGCATAAATAAATAATAATAACAACAACAATTATGTTACAGGTTTTAAAAACTCCTTGACATTGATGTTTGCTCGTACTGTAGGAATGTGTTGATAGTAGAAAAGCCTTCTTTTTTTTTTTACATCAGCATATGTAGATACAGTTCAGTGTAGTGCATACAAAATATATAGACCATAGACAAAACCAGAAGGACACAGACAGGGTATGTACTGGTGAGCTGAAGTTTAGCTGTTGCCGCAAGTTGTCTTTTTCTTTTGCTGTTTTTAACTTATAAATCATCCCCATAGTCTTAGTAAACAGTCTTTTGTCCCTATTATGTTGGTATAAAAGTATATCACCTCTGTATAAAAAAGGTTAGGATTAAATTCACATAGTTTTTGGCTTCTAAATATGGAAATGCAGAAAGGCAGTGTAGCTGTCCGTTATAATGCCGTCCACCAGGAAGTTAAGCAGTGTTACATTTAATTAAACATTATTTACAGCAAATTTACACTAAATGTGCAGTTCGCTCAGGCGCGCGTCTTCAGACGGATCTGATGGGAACGCTCTTTTACTCTCTCTTCTCCTCATCATTAACTCCTTAACGCAGTTTTTCTTTCTCTGTCTTTATTCTGAAAGAAAAGAAAACAAAGTGGTGAGAGAACTGTAGGTTAAAGGGTCTTTATACATCTTGTACATCCATTCATTTTACAGACACATACAAACAATTATCTCATTAGATTTTTAAACACATTAGGACACTGATGAGCAGTTGAACTCTGACCGTCATTACCAACAGGTCTGAACCGTAATCAGGACCATCTCAGAGATAGATCTCATTTAGGGAATCTGATCGCTTACCATAAGGTCATCTTTAGGCACAGGTCATAGTTCCACCTGGTCCAGATTAATCAGAAGGCACTGCTGGGTGTGTGTGGTGAGGTGCCATTGCATTGGCACTTGTTTGTGGCATGTTTGTGTGGTGCTTGGTGCCTTCTTTATGTGAATAAGTAGCATGAAGTCTGCTCGGGGTTTCTGCTCAAAAAAATATTCTCATCACTTCGTAACATTAAGGTTGAAGCACTGTTGTCATATGGACTATTTTAACAACATTTTTACTACTTTTCTGGGCATTGAAAGTGGTAATAACATTGCAGTCTATGTGGGGTCAGAAAGCTCTCAAATTTCTTCATTTGTGTTCTGAAGATCAATAAAGGTCTTGAGGGTTTGGAACGACATGAGGGTGAGTAATTCATTTTTGGGTGAACTAACCCTTTAAAAAAATATGCAAACGATTTCTCAGTTTCTGGATTACACCATTTGAATAATAATGATATAAGTAATTATACAGCTGTTAGTTGCAGTTCTTTAACTTTTTTTGAACAAGCAACGTTCCACAAGTCTCTTTTTCTTTTACAGTGATACCTAGTGTAATATACACTGTAAAAACTATTTTAGTTTTAAATAAAACAGATATTATTGGAGTATATTTTAGAAGAAATACTTTTTTAGTCTATCTACTTCAAATTTCTTGTTTGGTGAAATGTGTTGCTTGCCATTTTGTTTTGTAATTGTGTACGAAATCTCAAAAAATTGGAAAATTGTACAGAATTAATTGCATTTTTTTCACTGCAGTAAGTTAATTTTTTTGTTTTGGTGTTTGACAGGGTACTTGAGCCTTACCTATGGGACTGTTGGTGTACATATGAAAAAAAAAATGCTTCTTAAATTTAACTCATAACAGACAAATAAGTGCTTTCAGCTGATAAAACAAAGTCTTTTAAATGTTTGGCATTAAACACTGACAAATTGCAAGTTTGAGTTCATCAGCCCTCATTAATTGGTTGCAGCCGATGACATTTTTATTAATAAATAATCAATCCACTATGCCTCATCAAATACGACCATATTATTTCAGTAACAGCATGTGAAATACTAGATGAAAGGATGAATCTAGAGTGTTTTCATTAAACTGTGGTGTTTAAAGAGTCTGTTCAGGATTAGTCCTCGTAATGATAATGAGGGTGTTGAAGGCTTTGGTGGAACTCAGGACATACATGAACTGCGCAGGAAGACGCTCAGGTTGTCAGGGGAATAGACCAGATGTTTCTAGTGTACACGCAGACACATTGCAGCCTGTGTGCAGTTTTGTCTAGAGCCAAATGAATCATTTGTTTTCATCACAGTGGGTCATGTAAACACTGTAGTTTAGAATGCGGTAAATGTTCATTAATGTGGTTGAAGTCAGACCAAGCATATTAAGGGTTTTGTGCCAAAATGGACTGTTTTTATGATCTGATGACATCAAGAAATTATGCTAATGTAAGCTTAAAAAGCTATGGATAAATATCTGCTTATCTGTCAGTTGCACTAACATTGATAAATGACACTTTAAAGAGATAGTTCACCCAAAAGTGAACATTCTGTCATCATTCACTCTCCCTCATGTCTTACAAACTTGACTTTCTTTTCCATGACTCATTTGTAGAACACAAAAGATGGATGTTTTTAAAAATGTTTTTTTTTTGTCCATACAATAAAAGTCAATTGGGTCCAATGTTGTTTTGGACACCGCTTTTATTGTTTGGACAAAAACAGATGAAATATTCTTCAAAATATCTGTTTCACAGAAGAAAGTCATACAGCTTTGGAGTGACGTGAGAGTAAATGATTTTTGGGTGAACTATCCCTTTAAAACTCAGATACATTTCTGAATGGATGGATAACAATGCACTGACCTCTAACCTTGAACCTGTCACAAAATAATAATAGTTTATTATTAAACACCAATTTTTATAGGTTTTGACTGTTCTATAAATGTTAAGATGAGATCTGACCTCTAACTAACCATACATTTTGAATAGTTATTCTGGTGCAATAAAATCAACAATGTTTGTGGACAATTTGTTGACAACAATTTTTTTAGGCAATATCAGCAACACTTTAATAGAAAATAAATTATTAGAAAGTGGAACTGAAAAAATTATACTTTTTGATTTCGGCACACAGGCCTCCATCAGGGCTAAATGACTGCAAACTGAGGAAACTCAGTTTTACATTTTGACAGCTACTCACCAGCCGTCTCTGGTTACTGAGGCAGAAGGTGCAGATCTGTCTGGGCTGTGAGTTTTCTGAGTCCGGGCTGGGTGTCGAGCTCTTCTGGAGATTGTGGTGGTGATGATACAAGGCTCCAGGACTCCCGAGACAGGGCTGGCCGTCTCCACACTCCTCTCCAACCAGCAAGACGTTCCCCAGGTGTGAGATGTAGCTGGAGGCCAACCGCAATGTCTCAATCTTGGACAGCTTCCTGTCGGCGGGTTCGGTGGGTATCAGCGTCCTCAGAGCGGTGAATGCCGTGTTCACACTGTTCGTGCGATCCCGCTCTCGGGCATTTGCGGTGTTCCGCTGCCGTACCTCAACGATCTGTGAACGGATCTCGGTAGGAACCGCTACCGGTCGGCAGCTATACCTCTTTTTGGGAGCACCCAACTTAAAGGCACCATAGCTGTGGCTTGCCATACGGAAGGACTTGTCTTCGGATCCAGAACCCTCGCTGCCGTTGTCGTCGTCCTCGGAATGCATGCTGATCTCAGAGCACAAGAAATGACCTGGGGTTGGTCGCACCATCGCGAAAGACATGCTCAGCACCTTACAGGACCCCTGGACCTTGCTTTTCAACCTCGCACCAGAGCGCAGAATATTTTCTAGTCTACACAAACACAAGAATGAACTCAATCCCTATTTCTAATCGTACACACCAGGACACACTAGTGTCGTTTGAGTCCAAGCTCCTGTTACCAGTTTTGCTTGAGGGATCCAACCAATCCAGCGATGCTTGTGAGTGAGTCACTTCTGACTCACTCATTCACAAGAAATGCTCTTCTCTCCACTGTCATCAGTTATTTGGGCTAACAGCATGCCAAGGCGCCTCCCAGAATCTGTATGTTTGCGCTTGTGTGTGTGTGAATGGGTTTGTGAGCTCCAGATCCTTCAGTTCCACGTGTGATTTCAGCTGAGCGTTTCCTTATGCCTTGGATTTATAGTCAGGGGGTGTGGCTGGGGTTCGCTCTCCCTTCAACCACCCTAGATGTGAAATCCAGTGAGCAAGTGGGAGGAATGAGAGAAAATGGGGACCTCTCTCTCTCTCTCTCTCTCTCTCTCTCTCTCTCTCTCTCTCTCCCTCTGTCTCTTTCACTCCACATTAGTTTTTTTTTTTTTAAACGTGACCCTGAAGTGCTTCCACAGAAGATTAATCAGTGTGATAGATTGGTTCGTTTCTTTCAGTGTATTACATTTTTTTTAGTCCTTTCACACTGAATTTTCAATTCAGTCCATTAACTCTCCATTTTTTGTCTACGCTCTCTTCACTCTTTGTCAAAAACAGGAGTCGTCAGGGCCAGGTGCTCATGAATCAATCCAATCTGAACCTAAATACAGCGTTCAGTCTGTGGACGTTAGCCCAGATCGTTTTGCCTTTGGCACCACAGTCACAGGAGGCCTGACAAATGATTGCACAGTTGTTGAGGGGTAATATCACGTGATATTATACAACATTCATAATAATAGTAGAGGTGGGCATAGATTAATTTTTTTAATCTAGATTAATATTGAAATTAATCTAGATTAATCTAGATTAAAATGGCTCATTTGAATTCTCCCGAAGGCATTCAGAATATGTGTGCTACCCAAAAAATGACTAAAAGTAAGTCTTTGAGAATAGTTTGCCTCGCGTAGGGATGTGCATTTCTGCCAAAAATGCCATTCGACAATCGAGGAGCAAAAGTCGAATATCGTAAAAAAAAAACAAAAAAAAAAACGCAATGACAGAAAGGGAGGCCAATTTCATCTTTAGCAATTTGTCATCAAACAAACTGTTTATTAATTGAACAAGTAACATGTTTTCGTCCTTTTTTTTTAACATAGTAGGCTAATTGGAAGAAGAAAAAAACAATACGCACGACAGTCTTTGCATCGCCAATGCTCGTTAGATCAAAAAATAATGTCATCATATGTCATAAGAATTTTATGTGAACCTGCCTTGTTACTGCAATAGCCTCATTTTTAAACAAATTAGTTTCAATCAATGTAAACTATTCGTGTGATTATGCCACTGCGCAATACACGCGCAATACACACACAATGTATTTATTACCTGAATGAAATGAAATCGAATGTATCGTCCTGTGGAATCATTCATTCACAGACAGCTTACGAAGATGTTCAACTAATAAAGATCTTCATCGCTGGCAAAAATATGATGCATTTGCAGATTTGCATTCACTAGACTAGACTGTAGATCGGCCACTTCATCCAACGCTCTTGGTGCTCTTAAATCTTCCTGTTTCGACTCCGAGTGTGAATTGAAAGCGCTTCAGACGATTCAGTGCGCGAGGAACTGAATAGATCAACTGATTCGCGAACCGATTTAGACAGATCATCTGACAACTTGTTTGATGAAGTCTTTGAACAGAATCGACTCAAAAGAGTGATTCATTTGTAAATGAGCAGCATCGCTCATGCCCATACAAAGGACACAGCGCGCTTGGAATAAACTCATTTAACAACGTATTGCATTAAAATAAAGTAACGAGAGGAACGTCGCCCAACGTAACAAAGTAAAAGTACACCTTGTGTCCCTGACAGGAAAACACCCTACTGCGCGATCTGTGACAGTAGGCGCGGCGTCATAGGCCTACTACACATTAGAATTGCGCGAAAATATAACGATATTCGAAAAAGCTATTTATGATCCCAACCCAACTTTGATTAACGGCGATATTTTTTTTATCGCCCGATAAGAGTCTCACGTTAACGCAGCACGTTAACGCCGATAACGGCCCAGCACTAAATAATAGTAATAATTTTCATCTTTCATAATATTGGTTCTTGTGCATGGAGATTGTCCACTAGCAGCTCTAGTGCTGATTAAACAGGAAGTGCCCTGGGCTGGGGAGAGTTTTCACTTTAAAGACCCACTCCGATGAAAATAATGTTTTTCTAGGTGTTAACATGTTCTTGTGGCATTTTTCTTATGTTAGAGGACATATCTTTAGAAAAATAGGCTCAAAGTTGTATTTCTGAGTATTTCTACATTCAAATGGCTGTGAATCAGTAGCAGACGCAAAAATGCCGTTTGAAATAGACTGGAGTTGTGACGTAGTAACTCCACTGGGCGGGGCCACAAGCTCATAGTGCTCTATAAGTAAACTTAAATTTAAACTTGATTCTGCAGCACTATGATTTATTCTTTGTGTGATAGCTATGAAAACTTCAAAAAGGTTAATCTGACTAAATGTTTGGAGCATGTCCACAAACATATTTATTTACTAACATGTTATTAGGAGTTATTGGCCTTAAATAGTCAATTCAAGAGATTACAAAAACAATAACGTTACCATTCTGATACATCCACTTGTAGACGACTAGATCTATGTACGTCCTCTTGTTCCTCGTCCGAGCTGGCATCTGGCTCAAAACTGTACGGCTGGATAGCTCCAATATTGTTCTCCATTTTTGTTGCACCGGTATTGACAGGTTGGGGATGTAAGCTAGCGGGAGAGACAGAGCTCTCAGCAATGGGGAGGGGGAGGGTCGTCCCCGTGCCAACGGCTCCGCCCACAACGCAGAGGCGAATTTCTAATGAGCTACTGCCGCTCTGCTGAAGCGAAGACCCAGAAAACGGCACAGGTTTTGTGATTTTGGCTAAAAATGGCATAATCATAATTTAAAGACCACTGGGAATGTTTAAAAATAGCTAAAAAATATGATCGGAGTGGGACTTTAAGCACATAATGACTCTCATAATGGTTGAGTGGAGGCGATAGGTGGATTGGTTGTTTGAAAGGCTGTATGACAGTCACGGGCACACTGACATTTTCATTTGCCATACTTGTCAAATGTTGCCAAAAATGGTATGTTATTGATCTAAACATTTTAGGATCCCTACATTTTAGAGGTTCTGGTCATTCCTGTCGTACATTTTTGAACTTTTGAAAAATATATGCGTTGTTTATTCTAAATTATATGACGGAATTATAATTCAGAGCGTACTCCAAAGCCACGCCTCATTCAAAACACATGATTGTGTACAGCAGGGACACAAGAGACGGCCATAAACTACCTCATGTTTCAAAGCACATAGCATTAAAATAATAATGAACAAAAAAACAACTTAAAGAGCACTGATCTGTACCACCTGACTGCAGTTTCATTTCGGTGTTGATGGTGTTGACATTGAAACGCATAAATTTGAGTCACAAACCACTCCGAGTATAACGTCAGGGGCTTCCAATTCAAATTACAGTCGTTATGGTGTGAACGCAGCATAAGCTGGTTGTTTTGGATCAGGAGGAACTGTAAAAGGTGCTGTTTCGGTTGCGATGCTCGGTGACTGACGTCTGTCTAACTCTGCATAGCATGAAACGCGCTGATGACATGTCATGTCTGCGTGAGCATGGTGCACGGAGGTATGATAATACATACGTTGACAGGCAGGTAAGGACATCGTACAAACAATTTATGGTTTTGGATGAACATTTTATGGTCCTACGCCTTCCACAGACGATATATATACATATAAATATATTTAAACCACTTAACTTAGTGATTGCTATCAGGATGTGAAGAGACTTTTAAAAAGAATAACAATAAAAATGTTTCTAGAACAAATAACCTACCCTGCCTTTAATTTAGATTTATTTTTTTAAATAATCTTTTGAAATATTAATATTATCACACCTACTTCTGCAAACCATATGGAATCTTTTAGAATGAGACAAACGAACTAAGACCTCAAAATATAAGATGATTCATTTATAAAATCCATAGGCTTTATGCCGAACATCACATGAACAAACAGGAAAACCGGTCTCATCACATCCGCTTGTCAGCTAAAGTGTTAATGGCAGTTTGAGCTGATGACGATATCTATGAACTTTTTAGGTAATCCGCTAACCTAGCTAGTTATTTTTTATTGTTGCCGTTTTATTCCATCTAAATATCGAATTATTAATGAGAAGAAGACCAATAAAACAACTTTTAGATATCAATCTGCATATGTGATGAGCATCGGTTATGCTCATCTTTGCTTGCTTTTTTTAAGGTATCTTGAGTAAAGCACATACAGTAACCGGAAGCAAAACAAACTGTTTTACAGAATACTGAAGTTTGTTGGGCATAACCCCCATTGCTAATATGTGATGATTTTGCTGTTATTTCCTAAAACGATGTCACGGATGATAATGCCATTAAGAACTTTTATTATTTAATAATAATGATACAAATGACTAACCTGATGGAATATGATTTGTGTGATATTAAGGACTTATATAAAAATAAAGCCTATAAAATGAAGAACTATTTGAATAATGTTCTGAAGAAAACACATTTTGTTTGAAACATTTTGGTTACAAAAATAAATAAATTATTAAGACAATTTCAAGATTTTCTTTTTTCCATTTTTTTTGTCTAACCAAAATGCTTAAAAAAATGTAAAGAGGGACATAGTTGTAAAATTAGATTTAAATTACAATAAAAATGCATCCCTTTTTTTTCAATGATTTTTAATATTAATAGAAAAAAACGCTATATGATTTCTTTAAAAGTTTCGTATTTCATCCAGTATATTACGATATGAGTAAGGATATTTGAAGAAAATGCACTGCATAACAAGAATGACTAATTTAGATAAAATAGTAACTAGCATACTTCAGTGTGAAAAAGCTTATAAAAGCCCATTGCATTAATGCTGTGTGTGCTGAAACTTGATGTCTATAAATCAGAACAGATCGGTAGTTTGTTCTTCCCTACATCTGATTATCATTACTTTCTCTGGAACATCTGTGGTAAAACGTCATTTTAGCTTTAAGTGCCCTTCTTCTTGTGCCCTGTGTAGTTGAACTCTTCTGGCATGGGTTGGGAAACTGTCAAAATCCATCACTAATCTTTTGCTCAGGACTGCAGACAGTCGTTATGGATGTCTGCCGGACGTACGTCCAGTCAACTATCGGGGGACTCCGCTGTCTAGCCTTAGTTGGGGACAGGCCAGCAGGCAGCAACCACGCCTGACAGGACAGGGCCTCCGCAGCTGGCTCATTTAGTGTAAGAGGAGACGGATTTAGGGGTGGAGGGAGAGAGACAGGGAAGGAGAGACCCTATCAGCTGTCTCATTTTAACACGCATATCGCTTTACGTGTCACGCAAGAGGTCTAATTAGTAATGAATTGTGATCTCATCGGTTAGATGTATAGACTGGGGTGGTTTCTCTGAAGTGGGGCAATGGTATTTAGAATAGGTCACATAAGCTCAACCCCTCAGTAGAAATGGGAGAAATAATTTGGCGTCTCGTCTAACTCATCTCTCCATTGCTGACTGGTAATTGCCTTTCTGTGGCCTTGCCTCTGACTTCCAACCCCTCTATTTCAGGAGCAGAAATGAAGTCAGTCTTCACTGAAATTCCATGCCGTAATCGTCCCGTTCCTCGGAAGCCAAAGAATTCAGACGGCAAAGCAGGTCAGTGGGGTTTTGAGATGGAAAAAGTGAACCGTTTTGAAACTTCTGGAATTGTGTGCCCTTCAGAGCTTTTCCGACAGATCTTACCCTATAGAACCTGAATCTATAATATAATATAATATATTACAAAATTATAAACGATACAAAATAATATTTTGTATTATGTACTTTACAACTGCTCTGAAACAATATTGTGAAAAACACTATAAAAATGTATTTGAATTGAATTTAAAAAAGTTTATTTTCATGTTTTTACATCTAATATTACGGCAATCAAATAAAAAAATCGATTAGTTATAGTGCTCCTATTATGCTATTTTAAAAGTTGCTAATTTTTTTCTGGAGGTCTCCTTTACATGCATCAAAAGTAAACAGTAACATATTAATTTTATCATAATATACATTACATTACATACATACATATATATATATATATATATATATATATATATATATATATATATACATACAAACAACAGCATATTATTCAATAATCAAACGACTCGGGTGAATCAGTCTCTCTAAATCCCTCCTTTCTGCTAGCCTACTCTGCTCTGATTGGTCAGATGGCCCAGTCTGTTGTGATTTGTTTACCGCTTACAGCGCCTGACAGAAGCTAAACGCGCATTACCATAACTGAACTTCAGCTCCGGAGGCTTCCTCAGTCCTCAGAGATGTACACACTGTAAAGACAGTAACGATGACGTCGATTTTATATCAGTCCAAGCGCGAGTCTGATGATGAAACATTATTCAACCTGAACCTCAGAATTAAGAAGTGTATTTCTATCAGCAGACCGATGAGTATATTTCAAATTTATTGCGATGCACATGCGGGAAGTGTATTAACTGTATCAATAACGGTGCTGTGAATGTAAATGACTGGTGTAACATTAAAGTTGGCAAAACAAATCTTGCTCCATCCTTTATCTTTACTCAAAGTAGTAAGACCTACAGACAACCTGCATTACTAGACACAGTTTTAGGTAATAGTGTCCCACAGCTGATTTGCAGAATTATTTCAGTAAGACAGTAATAACGTGGGTTAGCCGGAAACTTACACAATATAAGACACAAAACTATGTATTTTGAACACTCAATAATTATTCATACTAACAGGTTGTGATTCTCAGGAGCCAGCTGGTCCAAATAAACTGGGTACCAACCCTTCTTTCCAGAGCAAGTGTTTTGCGAAGGGCGGACAACATACACCATACAGTAGGCGGGCATTTTGCAAATGTCTAATCTAGTGACGTAGAACTGCAACGCAGTGGGATTCGAATTACAGACAACTCTTTTAGGCGGTTCCGAGTCGATTCTTTCTTTTGGGAGACATTAACTTTATTTATCGTGCACTTTCGATTTTACTACTTTGCAGAACGTTTACATTCACAAACAGCTATATTACACACTGCATGAAAAAGAATATTTGAAAAAACATAATAGAGGCACTTTAATACAAAGTCAATATTTTCCAGATAATATTTTAATACTTTGCATTGGCTTCAGTATAGCAATAATATAAAAGCCAATTATTTAATTTGGCAAACAACATGTCTTTATATCAGGCTTTTTCTCACACAGTACAAATCGGTCTTTACGCATGACGATATATGGCTGCCTTTACAGTATATATTAGGAAGGGGGTCATCATATTTGGGGATCTGTGGACCCCTGCCATCATCATGTGTGACAGGTTTTCCAAAAACCCCATTAGTGAACAGGCATTTTCTCACACACTGGAGTGTGTCACTCAGAATAAGTCATTACAAATGAACCATGAGACATGTTGCTTTACTCACACTGTGTAACCCAAAGAAGGCGTGTAGTAGTTGGTGGTGTGGCAGGGACTGGAGGGGGGTAAGTCAAGGCCTTATCTTTGAAGTTTGCCTTGTAAAGCAGGCAGCTGGTGAGGGCAATCCCACTGCGGCTCTTTGGCCCGGGCTTGTAAATCCACCTCCGCCCCTCCTAACTGGAGCCCTGGGACTAACCTGTGGCCCGCTAACAATGGCTCACTGCTAATTTAGTGACTCTTTTAAATTCAAAGCATTCTCCTCTTTGTTAAATCTTCATTGTGGGAACACTTCATATATCTGCTCCAGGTGCCACCACCAGAACAAAATCTTAAAACATCTGCTCATCATCTTGGATATAATCACTTCACTTATTTAAAGGGTAACTAAACCCCTGGTCAGAGCCTGACTCCACCCACTGGCAATATTTGAAAAATGCTGGAAAAGTGGGCAGAGCCCAGCAGAGATAGAGGGGACGAACCGAGGGCAGGGCTGAGCGGGGGGGGCGTGCACCTGAGACCCGCAGTGACAGCTGCTGTCAGACTCGCTAGATGTTGAATTGTCTGTGGACACAGGGCCAGAGCCATATCAATTCGAGCCGCTGGCTCAAACTGCGGTCTTAACTCCCGCATCGCGATCGGCATCCGACGATGCTAGCGAAAATATATATTTTTCCAGGATTATTATTACTATTACGTTCAGTATATTTTGCTGCTATGTGAATAAAATATCCAGCAAATCGCGCCGGCGCGTTTGTCGACACCAGAGGGTTAACTTTAGCCTAATAAGAAGGAACCTAAATTGTGATTAAAAATATATTCTCACTCACATCATGACGCCGCTGCGGTGGTGGAGTCCATGCAGGAAGAGCAGCGTTTGGCACTGCGTTGCTTCTCAGCGCGAGCTGTGTGGAGAAGCCCATTTCCACCTCCATTGCGTTGGAGAAGCAATCCCGCGTAAAACGCAGGTTGCACACAGCGATAGACGGGAACTCACGGTCTTCCAGGCCAAGTGCATGCAACCACTGGTGCCTAATTTCCAAGTCTAGTGGAAAGTTATGCAGTCCAGCAGTGCTGTTGCAATCAGCAACACTACACCTACGTACCAACCTAACCACTGTACTAAATACAGATAAAGCTAATGCTAATAATCTAGGCTAATATACGCTATCCTGATTGTTTTCAATACTCGTAATTCCAACTCCTGACTCGCTACAGTAGTTTAAGTTTTGACGGAACCAGATGCTTTTATACCAGGGGCTGCCAAGGGCGTGACAGAGTGACGTCAGAGAGTACCCTACGTCACAGAGTACCCGTACTTCAGCTTTCCGTTTAACCTGAAGAGGGCAGCACTCAGACGTTTTTACACCATATATTTGAAAATTAAAACACTTTATGCCCAAATGTCGAATCAATGAGCAGCATTTATGAAGCTCCATTCTTACAGATCATTAACTAAAAAAAGTTGTTGTAGTGTTAAGTTACCCTTTTAAAGCTTCACACTTTCTTATTTTAGTAAATCTTTTTTTTTTTAAAGACGATATAAAGATTTTTCTGCAAATTTGTTTGAAAATATAAATTTTGCATTATTTCCTGTTACTTTTTTTTAAATTACATGCTTTACCAATAAATGGAAAGCAGTGAGTCAGAATTAAATGATCATATAACTACTGTAGGCCATAAATGTTTTCCTAGATATAAACTCTCACCTAAACATATATAGAATCAATAAAAAACTGTAAATGTTAATAATTATTAATTCAATGAATAATAAACTAATTAACATTATACAGGTTTTTTCATTGCACAAATAAAATGATGCTGCTTGATATTGCAAACTAGTACTTCTTATCATATTATTTTAATGCATTGTCGTTTAGAAAATAGATTATTTCCATGTTGCAAAATAAGGTGAATAATCTACAGTTTCCACAATATTTTTAAGTGGTTTTGAAATTTAAACTTACAATAATGAATAAAAATGTCAGATTTTTCAGACTTAAGTAGAGAAAAATCACACATTTACAGGCACAATTACTTTTCAAGGGGGTGGCTAGCTTGGCAGGAAATTTGCAATTTGCAGCTATTAGTTTTTATTAATGGTGATTACCCTGCGACATTGCCGATTCCTGTTTGACCAAGGCAGAATGTCAGAGTGCAGAAGGTCACATATGTTTTCATTACAACATTCACCAGCATGGTCCATGAAATATGTTCATTACGTTTAAAATATGTTCATTACATCATGGAGCGTAACAGTGATTCATAGAAATCTCTGAGGAATACAGTACGTGAGTAACAGTGAGTGTTCAACCTTAATTGTCTGTCCTCAGCATTTATCTTTAATTTATATTCCATTGCAATTTAGATGCATCAAATAATGTAGATGAAATATGCAGTCATAATTGTGTGCAAAAGTGAATGACCTTGCTTTTACAATTTTGCTCAGCTCAGTAGCAGCCAGAAACACACAGACATCCTGAACATATCTGAACGGAAATGGACCTTAAATGGAAACTGGAGGTTTTCCTTTTGCCGTTCATTCCATCATGGACCATTTCCAACACCGTTTCATCTCCATCAACATTGCACGCCCCACTTTGCTGCTTGTGGTCATTTGTAATGTAAGCAGTAGCTAACTGGCTGCTTATATCATCTTTTGCAGTGAGACCAATGAGCTAATTTTTTGGCTGTACAGTCCTGTTAATGTAGATTAGGGCCCAGAAATAAGTCATCCATTTTGGGTGTGGGTGAGTACATGCAGATGGATTTTTAGAACAAACATTTGCTGGAAACTCTCAGGGCTCCATTATGTATGGCGTAAAAAACAAGAATTGAGTATAATGTACAATTGTGTCTGCTTTATCCTCAAGCGTTGGCTTGGTTGTTTCTTTTCTTTATAGTGTTTGGCAAAATTGTTCGACTGTAGTGGCCAGATCAGAAATATGAAAACCCTTAATGCAGGCCATAAAGTGTTCAAATGATTTACAAAATGGCCTCAGTAAATTTGGCATTGAAGCTTATAGTAAATTGTCAATAAAATGTATGAACTTTCAAATTTACTTTTTGAAGCCTAACAGGAAGTTTTTGCTGTTCGTTTATGATGGTGATTTAGTATGTCATGCGGTCTATTCATAATTTAAACTGATTCCTGTGTGTGTGTGTGTGTTCGCACAGTTCGAAGGATCCTTAGGACATATGCTTGTCATTATCCATTGAGTAAAAGCTCTGAGTGAGTGTAAAGGAAATCCACAAGGCATATATCAGTCATATACTGGCGGAACATTTACCCTCACACATCCTTTTTCAAAACGTACATCCTCGATAGCATCCAAAAACAAATAATTGCGGTCACTTAGCCAGCTGAAATGAATTACTAAATTGTCCTCTTAATGCTGGCTCATTTCAGATGAATTTGTGTTGCTGAGTTATGCCTGAAACCGGCCCGAGACAGAGAGGGGACATCAGCACTTCATCAGCACCACAAGAAAACTTTCTTTAAAAGAGTTTCATCAATGCTGGATACGTCATCATGGGATGTTAACCGGTGGACTGAAGTTATGGACTTTATATGGGTAATTTCTTGTAATGATAAAGCTGACAGTTGCAGGGCAGAGACATTATGATATGAATGGGAGAAATCATAACACTCAGTATGGTGCATGTAGGTTGTAGTTACAATAATTCATTTTTAATAGAGAGGCATCACCTGTTTGTTTACTCTAGAATCTGCATGTGAATTCGGTGGAACAGCCAGAAAAATACATATTTGTGGCGTAATTTGAATTTGAATGTAATAAATGATGGTTGGTTTCATTGATTTGTTCTTTCCCCATTCAAGTAAATGGGAGCTGTACTTGCATTACTGGAAATAGCTGACCGGAGGTGCCCAAGATGGCTTTAGAGTGGACCAAAACGGGATTTTTTTGTGGATTTCTGAGGTGTCTTTTGACAGAGAGCATGGAAAAGGTCAAACTGGATACCTAAATACTGGATAAAACTGGATACTTAAACTGGAGACCTAATTCCAACATTCTAAATTGCATATCATTTAGATTATCCTTGATAATTTTGGATGTTTTCATTTGATCACTTCCTCTACTGAGATGTAACTCACTTAAATAGATGTGCAGTTTTTCCTCAAGATGGTTTGGAATGGTGCCTTGTTGATTTAACCTTTGCCCTGAAACCATCTTCCAAGAGGCTCATGAATAAGTTCAGCTGAAATGTCCTCACGGCAGCCTGCAGAGATTACAAATCACACAAATGTGTTTGTAATGGCTGTAAAATAGAAAATAAATGCAGGGAAAGTGCAGTTTACAGCTCAAATCCTCTGTACGCTTGATGAAATACAATAAATTATGTCCAAAAAACCCTGCTTCGCTCTGCGCTGGAACTTCAAAAATATTTGTATTATTTTTTTCTAGAAGTGAGGTCCTTATTTGAGATTTAAGCACTGCCTGGCTACCTTTAAATGGAGAAGATTTTTTAGGACTGAATTGAGAATATTTCAAGACTTTTATTTCTTTTGGGGTGTTTTCTACAACACCCACTAAAGCGCTGATTAGTCCTCTTCCAAACCTTTCAATGCAGCAAAGTGATTTCTGTGCTTGCTATGCTTCATGGGGTAAGATGTTTCATAATAATGAATGAAATAATAATACGGCCATACTGATGTACTGTATCAGTTGGACCAAAGGGAAAAACAAGTCATCTGCTTTTGGAGAAACACTGGAATGTGAGAAGTCTGTATCATGATTTCTGGTTTGCAGTGTACATTTTTACACAGTTCCCTTTTGAAGTGGAACTTCGATGCTGCGTCTTGATATTGGCGTGACCGGTGTCTGAAGCACTTGTAAACAAACGGCAATAATTATTGGCAGCTGGCAGTCCATGACGTCACACACGTCACAGCCTGTGAATATAAAAGGGTGCCTGAGTTGCACGTCATCAGCTTTTTTGCCTTCAGGATCCACTTGTTTGTATGCTTGTATAAGATAAGAGTCTGTTGGGGCGTGTTTGACTCTCGAGGGAGCTGGATGTGCTCATGGCAATGCATTCGCAGTAGGAGGCTCTGTCATTGCTTGATTCTCTTAGTTTAAAGGGATAAGAATTTAGTGTTTGTACGGAGCGTCTCTCGAGGGAGCTGAATGCATTCATTCTGATCCGTTCGCTGTGGGAAGCTCCATCCATGCTTGACTCTCTCTTGAGGTATGAGAGTCGAAAATCGATTGCGGGGATTGAAGGTGTTGCATACGGAGGAGTCTGACGGGAGATTTTTCCTTTTTGGACTTCTGGACCTCTGGAAGCCGCTATGTGGCCACCTCCGACCTGACTGATTGCTGTGATGTGTCTAATTTTGAGGAATTAGATGCATAGAGAGTTGAAGCAGGTGTTATTAATAATCCGCATATATGTTTGTAAGCCTTTTATTCCTTCTATATCTCCTCATTGAGGAGTTAAGATAATGGAGACATTTGAATTCGGCTCGTACAGTCCCTCCCATGCATTCAAACTATTCGTGTGTGGAGAGACTGAGCAGCGATATGTAGGAATGCCCCAGTTGAAGATCTGCTTGTGAGGTATCTCTCCCCTTGTGCTGCATCCTCTTTAAAGGTTCCTGCCTTGCCAATGGAGCAAGTGCATTTGTTTTAGTCATACTTTTGTATTTTAAATTTAGTCATTATTTCTTTGTGTCATATCATTAGTTTTTACTCTGACTAAAATAAAATCTAATTTTGGTAAATTTAAATAATATTTTAGTTTATGAATGTAAAATTAAATCACACATTGAAACATTTTAAATACAAATCACAAGCTATTGAAATAAAATGATAAAGAGTGCACTATAGAGTGCTGCATTTTAGTTAGTATTTTAGCACTTCAAAATCAAAATCAAAAAACCCTTTGTTAAAGACTTTTTTTGTCACTGATAAGATTAACACTGCTGGTTTGTCTGTGCATGACAACTAAAACCCTTGACTTGAGCCATTAAAAAGTCCCCATTATCTAGGCAGGTGAGCAGAGGGACTGTAAGTTTGGAATATTTCCAGCCGTCAAGTTCACTCTGAAGTCATGAGCTAAGTGGCCTCAGAGCCTTTCAAGGCTCCGGTTCTGTGACTGCGGATTTGCTTTGTTTCATCCACCGTGCCAAAGCTAGAACTGACAGAGGAAGGAGGGTCTTCCAGCCAGTGAAATGTGCTTCAGCCACTATTGTATACTGTGCTCATAAAGTTCAACCATATATGCGTGGACAGAGGCTCCTTGTGAAAAACAAGATGGCCATGCTGAGCTTTGCCAAGAGAAACACAAGTAGACAGAAAAGCGTGCGCAAGCCTGAGGAACATTCTTCTTTTCATGGCAGATCCATCATTTTTGAGTTCCACATGGTTTGTGTCTGAAACGTAATGTGGTGTATTATAATGTGTTGGGTTTGTGGAGTTTGTTTAACCTCTCTTCTCCCTCTCTGAACCTGATATGCTCCTTTTTTGCTGATTAACTTGTCTGATATGATCCATTTCATAGCTTTTATGTGAGTTGGTTTTGTAATGGCATCTTTAGCAACCAATGCCACACAAAATACATTATTAAAATAGAGTATTTTTACATTCTCCAAATACGTTGAAAATCTGTTAACTGTCTGTTCAAATGTCATATCCAGAATTACAACAGAGTATTATTATCTATAAAAACTGATGTTTGATGATTTGTGGTGCTTTTTATTCACATTTATGCAGAGAATTTGAATGTTCTGTTCGAGCCCACATACACATACGTGTGGTTTTTATGTCAGCAAAGTTTAATATCACTCAAAATGTATTATGCTGAATATTTTAGATGCATGGAAATGCAAACTTTCAGCCGAGACATCTTATTTTTCACTCAAGTATGGTGTAGATAGTAACATCTGACTTGGCTTTACATAATAGAAAAGCCCAGTGTAACACCTTCTGCTTGAGAAAAGTGCATGTTTATTCAGTGTTACGTGATTTAGAAGTGAGATTTAACAGTGATGGGATGCAAAGATCCATATTTTGTCTTTTAATGAAGTGTGCTAAAGAAGCAGAGGATCACAAGGCTTACATTTTCCCTGATTTGCTTTTATTATTGAAACCTTTCTAGATGAGATATGGCATGTTTCTGTTTCTCATCTTTCAGATGAGTTCTCAACTACTGCCACTGTGCAAGGATTATGGGCCTCTTTTAAGGTTTGTTTTATTATTAAATCAATCATTTTGGACTTGATATGATTTTTAGCTGATGAATATCCCTCACTATATCTTTGAAAGGAAGTCCAAAGATTTTTATTTTATTTTATATAAATAAAATAATTCCCCTATGTATTAGAGTAATGGTGGACGAGGCACCTGTGATTTCTCACATGTATTTCACTTGGAGAAATCTAAGGAGAGATTTGTTACAAAGTCAAAGTGTAAAAGCACTACTGTAAGAGCAGGTGCTGTAATGTTTCCTGTGTAATTCATTTTCTTACAAGGATACCCACGCAAGCCACTTTAGCTGTCAAATACCGATCATGGCAGCCGTAGTAAGCAGCTCTTCCTGCTTCCTTTCCTTGATTACCTTCATAACCATACCTTGATTTATCCCTCCCTCATTCTCAAGCGTCAGCTGTGTATTGACCTTCAGCACAACAGGAAACCCCCAGAGTGCCATAAACCAGAAAGCCAGAGTCCTCAGCTGGAAAGCACATAAAGGGATAGTTAACCCAAAATGAAATGAAAAATTCTATCATTATTTACTCACCATCATGTTTTACCAAACATGTATGGCTTTCTTTCTTCTGTGGAAAACAAAAAGAGAAGTTTAGCAGAATGTCTGTGCTGCTCTCTTCCATATGACCCCTTCTGAGGGTAGTCAAACCAAAAGCTTTTGATATACAAAGATGGTGCTTATGAATGGGAGAAAGTGTAACCCACAATATGGCGGAATCGTCCCACCTTCTAAATAAAAGAGCCAAATGCTAATGAGTAAAATCATTGTGTCACTATAGCTGCGAGTGGCATTTCAAAGATGGCCGCCAAGTGGTCAAACTTTGGTCAAACTCAACAAAGGGCAAAAAAAAAAAAAAAAAAACCACACCATAAAATCCTCATAACAGTAGTCAATGTGATTCACAAAACCATATAATAGATTTGTCTGGTGGTCAGACTGAAATTGACAGAAAATCTTGCTTGACAGCCATGATCACCATTCACTTTTCTTGTATGGAAAATAATTATAAATAACTTAAGTTTAGGGTCCAATTCTCACTATTAATTAACTAGTTGCATATTAGCCTGCAGGATATTGGCTGTATATTAGTACTTATAAAGCACATATTAATGTCTTATGCGGCATGACATATTCTACAACCCAATACCTAAACTTAACTACCTTACTCACTATTAATAAACAGTAGGAGTTTATATGCAAAAGTCATAGTTACTAATTAGTTAATATAGTGAGAATTGGACCCTATACTAAAGTGTGACCATCTTTTGTGTTCTACAGAAGAAAGAAATGCATTTAGTTTTAAAAGACAAGACATAACAATGAGTAAATAATCACCGAATTTTCATTTTAAACCATATCTCAGACATAAT